CAGCCTGTTCATTGAATTGTCTTACTATAATCTCTAGACATATAATTATGTATACTTCAAATTCACGATATTTATCAGATTACAATTTTTATCAGAAAGTACAAAAAGTGGTACAAAAAAGTTAATACAATTTTCGCTTTTTGGCGAGATAATTTATTTTATCTAACTATTTTATCTAACTTTTTTTCGAAGACTTATTGAAAGTATTATTAGAAGTAACGCAAAACAAACTAGAAGTTTTTCCGAGAAAACGAATTCTAATATTCTAATATTCTTTATCTTTGTATCTACTTCATTACATGATGTTGTTTTGATGATATCATAATATAAAAAATAGAGTAAGATTGGTTATCGTCGAAAAATAATTTTTAATAATCTATCTGTCCTAAATCAATATAATGTAAAATCAGTATCAGTGTAAAATGAGAAGCTATATAAAAAAGCATTTAACGTTACGCGCTTCGCGAATCATATAGATCAATATTGCAATCAAGCTAACACAGCTAATTGTTACAGTAATAATTATTATCACTGTCATAAATTACAATTTATGGAGGGTGCTCTATCTCTTGCTATCAAATAATATTTTGATAGCATTTGAATTCAATCTTTCTTTCAAAAAACAAAATGTGTCATCAATCCAGAGCAACTACACTGTGGCATATTCAATAAAGAATTATAATTTTTACAATTACAGGAAATGCATTTTTATGCAGAGACAGATGATAATAATTACTGCATTTACAATGCATGGAGTAAATTTCCAAGAAGAAAAGAAAGGGAAGTATACATAAGAAAAAAGTTGCAAGAAAAAAAAATCATCAAAATCAGAAATCAATACACGTCAAATGTTTAAAAAAAAATTACACTGTGGTAAATTTGCATCCTAAGATTTCTCGTTTGTGCTTAATTTTCTTCAGTCATTGCTTACACTCTTCTGTCTCTAAAGTATTATAGTAAAACATTCACAAGATCAAGTATCCGTAAATGACCCTGAAATGAACGATAAACGAACCGCCGATGAAAAAATGTACAATTCGATCAATCGACCGGCCAAGAAGGAGAGATGATGGTCGGTCATTTATCACGCGATTTCAGGAAGTTTCTCACCGAAGTGGTATATCACAGTGCAACGATCCAGATACTCGATTGAGTTTTCCTGTGGGAGTTCGATCGAAGTAACCGATAACGGCGAGTCGAACGTCGCGACGAGAAATTTGTTTACCAGTATTATATTGCCGTATCGATTACCATTACAATCCCAATCAACCATGTACATGGCAATTGCGCCTCTAGAATCGCGTATCACAAAGGGCGACATGCGCATCATCGTTTGAGTATACTCTACGGCTTCGATTTATCTTCGGAATTCGCATCAAGGACAATCTTGCATTATTAGGTTTTCAACCGTGAATGCCTGAATATCCCAGTGAAGGAATTTTCCGAGTAAAACTTGGCGATCAGATGATAGTTCTCCAATTAATCCTAACAAAGTTTCAGAACAACTCACATCAGTTCGCATTATGGTCGAGGAAATTCGCTCTCTCCACGTAAGCAACGTGGATATCGGTGTTTCTGGGTCCGTGATGGTGTTTAATTAATCGTATTCATATACGCTGTCCAACAATTCTATTCGATACCATGTGCAAAAATCATCACTAATCCAGGCTCGACCATCATATCCTCCGGCATGTGCATATTATCACAGTGAAGGACCAGCACCGCTTGTTTGCCAGGCACTCTTTTGCACACGTAGTTGTCGTATTGTCGTCGAGAGTTCTGTCTAGTCTCCAGTGAATTAAGACCTGGTGGCCATTTTCTCTCGTGGCAGTTTTCCATTAGCTCGTCAATCACATGAGGTGGACAATTGTACTCTGATAGAGTTCTCTTGATCATTGTCTAAAAATATCAAAAGGACAATTTCAGGATAAATGTACACTCACAAAATAAATTTATCAATTGGTACTTAAATAAATAACTTGCACCTGCAGCAATTCGTCAGGCGTGGAGATCATACCGCCCCATCTGGTAACTCTAGCGCGTGGTAGAGACGCGGACCATCTGACGACGTCGTCTCGTTCCATCTGATCAGCGATTGCACGCATTGCCGGATTTGATACTCTAAGCGCGCGCATAAAGTCTTTCAGAAGATGGATTTCACGTTTATGTTCATTGATTTGCAGCTGCTGTTCATCGAGTTCACGCTTCATATCGCTTAGTTTTTGCTGCTGCGACTGTATCAGATTACGGAGCTCGCGCACGCAGTTGTGATCCTTGAGCTCGTTCTTGGGAATAATCAAGCTGCAACCCTGCTCGCACTGCATTGGTCTCTTCGGATTGTATTCGCACTGCTCGAGATGCATTGCCAGGCAATCTAACTTGACAACCATGTTACAACCATACATAATGTTGTCGCATTTGATACACAAGCGGGCCAATAGGTTTCTCAAGATTCTGGGAACTGCTCTGAGCTGAGTGGATGTGATGGGCGTACGGTCCAGGGGACACGTAGGCTGGCGATTTATCCATTCGTTGATACAGGTGCGGCAAAAGGCATGTTCACACACTGGTGCCTGTAACACATTACTCACCTACCAGTTTTTTTATAAGCTACCACAACTTTATAAAGCAGCAAAATATAAGTACATGCTATTTTTGAAAAAACAAGTCAATATCCTCCGAAAATGAAATGATAAAATATTTTAAGCACAAAAACTATCTAAAATAGTTAGAATATACAACCCTGAACAAAGCGTATCTCAGCAAAATCATACAAATCTGTGCTTATGATGCTGGCAACTTGCCATAGATTTATTTTCAACAATTTTGAATATACTGACATCGTAGCAATATACAGGCAATAATGTGTATATGTTGCCAGTAGTTTAATAGCAAGATAGCTGTTATCTTATGTTGACAGCATTGTATGATACTGCATATTATTATGGCAACATGATGATAGTAGCATGAATTGTAATGATGATTTTAAAGTTATCGGCAAACTGTTGACAAGGCTACTCAAAGTTATCAATATCATAAAGGCATTAAACTACCAATAAATAAGGACTTAGTTGCTGCAATTCTGGTAGCAACATATGTTTAGCAATATATATATATTTAGCAAACAAGATGCCAACAAAAACAGACATTATCTGGATAAGAAACTATTTATGGATAGGATTAAATGAAGATAGAAGAAAATATAGAAGAGACAAGCTTATGTATTTTATACGTAAACATGTAAAGGCAGGCTTAATTTAGAGCAAGTAGTATTCTTCTAGAAGATATATGCTTCGTCAAATTATATATAATAGCATCTAGATTAAAAGCGATAAGTCAAGCTAACCTATATTCGCAGATGCGCAATTTTGTTCGCTCTTATTTCGAGGCAAGCAACGTAGCGGACAAGAACAACGGGAAGCCTCGGAAAATAAAGCAACGCCGGTGACGCGTTGAGATATTATGCATTCGAAAGTTCTTTCTCTTTCTCCCGATGTGTCAAGTCAAAATCTTGTACGTAGCTTCATCGACCTCTCGCTTGCGTCGAGGTGAGATTCTCAGATTAAAACTCGCGAAAATCCGGGCTTCTCCTCGATCTTGTCTCTTGGAAAAATTGAAATATTCCTCTCCTTTCTCGGATTCCACGAAGCTCTTCACACAAAAACGCGCAGAACAAATAATAGAGGTTAGGTGAGATACAGAGTGAGTCGCAGGAAGATTTTCTCAAATCAAACAGACGTCTTACCTGGACAGGGTCTTCAAGAACGCCAGAACATATCGGACAGACGAGCTCCTCGTCTACGTCACCCTGGAAGCGGTTCACATCGAACCCCATCGCTCGCGAGTACGTGTATGTATTCACCTCCTTCTACCTCCCACTACCTCCTCCTGCCACCTCTTCAGTCCTCCTCGCACGATTCGCGAGAATCGCGAGTCTTATGACTCTCTCACGAGTATCGCAACTGTCAGGAACGGATTTAGTTGCGAAGGCACGAGAGATTTTCCGAAATGATCCTAATGACCCAGGGATTGCTTCGCGTTCCGAGTTTTCGTTCGCAAACCACCGTCAGACCTCTTCAAATTTCGCACGCAATTTCAAAACAATTCTGCAAATATATATATATATGAAATATACATTAATGTATGTATCTTATTATTAACTGATTTTGTAAATACATTTATTCTTAAACAATTAAGAATTTTATTATATTTATTACGTATAATAATTTATAATTTAGTATCACAATTATCAAATTATCAAATATATTTATAGTTACTTGGTGATTAATTTTGTTCCTTGAAATATAAATACACGCGTGAGAAATCACGGACAGCGGCGAAGGATTTTAATATATCGGCCACGATTGATTTTCGAATCCACGTGAACGCTCGTTGCGAAAGAGCGCACACTTTTCCGCGCGGCGCGAGTAGAGGGGCATACTCGATTTACTGCGCGTGAAATTGTTAACCGGGAGTTCCGCGAGAAGTCCATTAGACGTCAATGAACGCAAGAAGCGAGGACAGCACTGTGAGAGAAGAAGACTCCTTCGTCTTGAGACTCTCGAGAGACCCAGACTCTCACTACTGCTGGACGGTTTTACCGTTATATCCGCGAGTCCGTCCCGTTCTCGCGCTAAACGGCTCGCTTCCAAAACGCATATAGGTCAAAATTAACCGCCCGCTCCGTTGCTAGAGGAACGATCGAGAAAACGTTCTCTTTGTCATTTTATTATGGGCAGAACTTTCGCTGAATAAATGGACAGAGGGAGAGAAGAGGACCCAAAGTGGTTCTCGACCGCGATGAATAATAAACGGCATTCGCGAGCTGAACGGCGATCGTAGCTGAAGTCAAAAGAGTTAAATAAAAATGTTCATTTAATCGAGCAAAATCAAAATGGAAAGATTACAGACGGTTCGTATCGATGTGGTTCGCCATCAATGCGGCGATTCGATGCGCAGGTGCGCGGCACGCACCTTTGAAAATCGAGTACACCGGACGTCGTGGATGCCTTGACACCTATTTTGAGCGTAACTTTATGCATGTATTGTATTTACCGAGCTGTGATCAACTGTGATATGGCCTAAACATTCGTATATCACGATCGTTAATTTATTCTCTTGATGTAATCCGACTCGATTCTCTCTTCGAGAGGAGAAAAAAATATGTCTTGCTTCTGTTCGCCGTGCTTGTGCTCGGAAAAATACAATTTGCTTGGATTTGATTTAGATAATTGGATCTTATTGGAATGAATATTTATCGAGACGAACGAGAACTCGTGAAAGACTTTCGCCACAACAGCTGTCTGTATGGTGGAATTAATAGGTGAGAGGCTGATATATTGAGTATATTCAGTATCGGATTGCTTCTCGCCTTAATGAAGTGAATTGCAATATTCACAAAATATTGGCATTTAACGATGTATCAAAATATACAGAAATAATTCATAAATCATTCTTACTTCTTTATTTACAATTTTCCTTATGTTCCATTTTTAGGCAGAAAAGGCTAAATCCAATTTGGGTCCTAGCTGAATAGCATTGAGACCTAGCTAGGATTGTAGAGCATAAAAAAAGAATTAAAAAGGTCCACATATGCACAACTTTGTAAAATGAGTCCCTTGCTACAGCTATTCAAAGTTCGCTATGACAATGTACCATATAGGACTAGTTTTATTTGATTTCTCGAATCACCTAGTATCTGAAATATCCATTCTTGATGAAGACAACTAAAACCTTTTTTGTACCCCAAATGTTATGAATAGTTATAAGTGATATATATTAATCGATGAAGAGGAGAGAAAGACATTCAAAATATGAAACAAAAGATGTTAATTGATTTGAAAGAGGCTGCGGTTCAGTATTTTTAACTATAATTTTTAATTGTTTCCATCTCTCGTTTCAATACATTTTCTTTTATGATGACACCAATAGGCATGATATATATGATATTTAAATGTACTAAGTGGAGCTCTTATGGAACTACTAAGCTCTTATTCCAAGAAATCTAGCATTTCGATCTCCAGCCAACAAATGTTTGGCCAACAAAAGGGACTGGTTTTTAAAATATTTTCTACATTGCCCACAGTGGATCTCATCGCGTAGCGATGTAGCTGCTCGAGATGACTCCATATCAAAGATTATCCTGATTGGTACATTCGTCGCTTGTCGATCTCCCCGCCCAAGAATTCCAGGACATCGCCGTTATTACAAGTAAATTCGAATTTCTGTGACATGACAGCATGAATCGCAACCAGGGACAATTAGTCGAATTAATGAACCAAATACATTTTAAATATTACTTCAATGTTTTTGGTACAATCTGTTATCGCCGTCATCGTAAAGAGGTGCCTTGGATGCAAAGAAATTGGATAGTTCTAGCACTCAGGAAACTTCTCCTATAAAGTTGGGCTTATAAAATTTTTAATTCTCTTTTGATGAATGACCTTAAAATTTTAGGCATATTTCAAAATTGTTCATCCGGGACCCAAATTCCCTATAAAACTGGGAATAGTCCTTTTGGAATTGATGTATATTATATAATGTATCTACTTCCAAGGGGAAGCTTTGAAGATATATGAATCATTAAGATCCACTTTGTATACTTTGTATATTTTAATTTATGAAGAAATTTAAGAAACTTTTTAAATATCATCTCGTATTTCATGTAATACTATAATACAAACTTATATTGATAACTTATATTGATAAATTTCCATTAATTATCTCTAGTAAAAAAATTTCGCTGAAATTATTCCATATTTTAGAACATTTCAGCGAAATTACTGAAAATTTACTGAAATTTCAATGAAAGTGAATTTTTCAGCTAAACATATTGAAAAATCATTGAAATTGAACTGAAATTTCTCTAAAATTTTTCTGAAATTTTTCTAAAAATAAATTTCTCACCTAAAAATTGCTGAAATTAAACTAAAAATTTTCTGAAATACTGAAATTTTTGCTGAAAAATGTTCCATAACGTAAAATCATTTTAGCGAAATTTTTCCACCACGGTAATTCTTTCTAAACAAATAATGTTGTTTGAATTATCCAAATGTCAACATTTATGTATTAATTCAGATTCATATGCAGAATCTTGAAATTTTCAGTATCACTTACGATAAAAACCTTGCGTCTTTGTGATCAGATTTTCTTCTAGGCTCAATTGATAGATAAGATGAGTGATAATCTGCACTTGGTATTGCGAACGAAAAGACGAGATCAGTGCCCGAGTTATCACCGTGGAAATAAGCTGAATGGCGCAGAATCGTTGAAAATGAGCACTTCAAGTATAACAAGAAGAAAAAATTCCGAAAATGAGATCCGAGGTAACCCATTTTTAAACAACTATTTATCATTTCTTCATCTTTTCATCACGTGCATATATAAAAAAAAGTCCTTTATGTTACTTCAGATTAAGATCGACGTTGCTCTTATTGTAATACTTTTACATTATTGCGATCATTTCTTCCTCGGCTTTTGTGATTTGACTTTCTCTTATACACTCACTGTTGATTGATTATGCGATCCAAGATATACTGAAGATGAAATGAGAGAGCTTTCCTCTAATAAACTTCTGTTAATCATATTA